TACAGGAAGATCTGGGGAAAGAAGATTTAAGCAGAAAAAGTAAGTGCAAATGACCCCAGATGGGTACGAGCCTGGTATATTCAAAGAGAGATAAAAAGCCAGGTCAAAGAAGATGAAGAGTCAAACTGAAGGAAATGGGATCCCAGCGATACAAAAACAAGCAAACAACAACAAAAAACAACCAGCCACCCAGATTTGTAGACCATAAACGTGAGAGTGGTGACATAGCCTCGGCACTTCTCTGGGAACTCATTCAAAGTGGCCTCTCCAGTCGTCCGGCCCGCAGCACCCACCACTCGATGGCACCGACCTCCTCAGCGCCCTGCCAGTGTGGCCCACGGCCTGGCTGTGCTCAGTGTTGCCCCATAGCAGCTGTCTGCACAGGCCTTGGCTGGATGGCTCGTGGGACGTGCCCAGGAACCAAGACCTTCAAAGCTCCCCGGGTGACTACTTTACGCACCTCAGTGGAGAACCACTCTGCGGATGTTAACTAAACAAGTCTTCTTCTTCCCAGGCCTGCTTTAGCTTCTTTATAAAGTGAATTCAGAGACCACCTGTAGTGCCACCAAGCGATACCAATCACTAAAGATGTTGCCAAAATAGCACAGAGATATCTGGACTGCTGATATTTGCCGTGGGTATCAGGTTCCCACTGCCAGACGGGAACATTCTGGCTTATAGGAAAAGGACAGGGGAGAACCAGGGGGACGTGAGCCCTGCTCCCGGCCCGCCCCTCCCTCCCCCACCAGACGTCCCAGGACACAGTTTATTTTTGTCAAATCATTCAAATAAATTCACCAGATACTTCCTCATTTATTTCCACTGTCTCCATTTTTTATTTTATTAGTGAAAGCATTCTGCAAGTACAAACCCGTGCCACTTTTCCATCTTCTGAGGGAAGGAAGGGTCGGAAGAAGCACCCCAGGCCCGTTCACTCCCACAGATCTCAGGGGCAGGCAGACTGGTGTTCAAATCCTGGCTCCCCCATAATCTGGCGAAGCAGACTTGGCCACAGATGTCGTCTCTGCTTGTTCCTTTGAGAAATAAGCAAAACCGCAGTATCTCCATCACAGACACTCAGTGAAATTAAGGTGTGTATCTCGTGTCCTGCTGAGGCATGTCAGCCCACCTTTAATGGCTTAAACAGCTTATCGTCGTCTCTGGTGGCTCTGAGGCTGATGGCCCAGCCAGTGTCCTCCTCAGTGCTACCACACGGTTGCCTCAGGTGGGGCAGGAGCCACGCATCTGCACGATGGCCTCTTCCTCACCTGCTGGTGCTGGGTAGTGGCTGATTTGAGCCTCCTTACAGCACAGGGTGCTTGAGCTGTCAAACTTCTTTTATGGCAGCTGGCACCATACTGCAAAACAGTTCCACTGCTCGCCCGGGCTCCAGGAAACGGATCAGAGATTCAACTATCAGTGGGAGGAAAATTGATAAACTTGGACCATGTTCCATCCACCACCATCTACAAAACCTGCGATGCAGTTCTGGTACCTAGCAGATGGAATATTTCAAATAGCACCTATTATGACACAAACTAAGCGCTATCCCCATCACTTGGCCCCCCAGTTCTTTCATAAGCTCAGCAGAAGGCAGGATGAGCAGGAAAGAGCGGGCATTATAAGTGGAGGAGAAACACCCTTTCCTGAGGGAGGTGCTGAGTCACCCTGTTGGTCCCACACTGCAGGACCACAGGAAGTTGCTGTCATAGTTCTCTGGATGCAGCATTGTGAGGTGGCAGAGAAGAGGCAGCTGGGGAGATTAAACTGATGCCCAGTGCAGGGGCTGTCGTCGTGGCAGTGAGTCACCAGGTGAAATCACGGCTTCAGGGTCTGGTACCCCAGGCCCCCCAGCAGAGATCAAGGAAGCCGCGTCTTAGAGGAGAGAATGCGACGTAGCTCAGTGTGAAGATCCTGGTTCAATGAATCACAAGTACTGAGAAAAATAAGATGGGGTCGCATTTGTATGAAATCCAAAAGAAATTTCAGATGCATTGCTTTGATTGAGGAAATTAAGTAATTTTGCTAGAAATAAAATTACACTCTTTAATACTGGAAATCAAGTAATGTAAATTTAAAAAGATAGCATATATAATTTCATCAAAATATAGAAGCCTAACAAAAGAGCTGAAGATATTCAAATACTTTACACAATGTTCTTATAAGCATTAAAGAATACTGACTTAAGTACTCTTAGACCAAGAACCCCAGTATTGTAAATTTATAAATTCTCTTCCAGTATAACCCCAGTGAAATTCCAAATTTAAAAAATGTATTGCTGTTGTTGTTATTTTACATTTTTTAAGAAAGGGTCTTGCTATGTACTCCAGGCTGTCCTTAAACTCACAGCAATCCTTCTGCCTCAGCCTCCTGAGCTCTGAATTACAGGTGTGCAATACCACGCCCAGATTCCAGTATTTTTTTTAGAACCCAACAAAATGATTCTAAAATGTCTACAGAATTTAAAGGGATGAATGAGAAATAAGAACAGTCACCAATGAGAGGATGGTCCCTAGCAGGTATCAAGACTTACTGTTGAGGTAGAATGAACTGTGCTTCAAAATAGGCTGGTGGACTAGTGGATCAGAACCACTTCAGAAACAGACTCATGTGTTTAACCTGAGGTTTGCTCTACACACAGACAACAGGGCAGCTCAGTGGCTGTTTGATGAGTATTGCTAGCACAGGGGGGCCCACATGCAGATCAGCAGCCATAATCTACAAACACGAATCAGAAATGCTCCAAAATGCAAAACTTTCTGAGCACACAATGCCACAGGTGAAAATCCCACTCCTGACCTCACGCAAAGGGTCACAGTCCAGACACAGACATGCAAAAAATTACCCCCAGGCCATTAACACAGTCTATGAAACATAGATGACTTTGGGCTGAGACTTTGTCACATCCCCAGGATGTCTCCTCAGATACTCCAAAAATGGAGAAACTGAGCTCTGAAACACTCCTGGTTCCAAGCACTTTGAATAAGGGATTCTTAACCTGTATTAAAAAAAAGATAAGGAAAAATTATAAATGTATCTTACCCCATATGCAAAATAATTCCAGTTAGTTAGCATCCCAATGGAAGAGAATAAACTATAAACCTTAGAGTTATATAAAATATTTTAAAGAGTGAAAGTAAGCACGCCCTAAAATTGAAAAAACATCGACTCTAAGGAAAACACTACATATCTCACTACATTTTTTAAAACAGCCCCTTGAGAAGGTACTGTAAAGAACTTGAGAAGAGGAGCTATCAGTTGGGAGCAGATACATGAAATATGTATAAGCAGTGAAAGGCTTATTTCCAGGAGATACGAAGAACTCTTCCAAATAAACAACAGCCCGAACAGAGATAATTCAATAAAGATTCAAGTTCTTTCTTCTTAAAAAAGAAATTCCAAATGACCACTAAAAACATAAATAAGTTCTCATCCTTATTATTAATTTGGCATCTGTAAATAAAAAAGCCAAAATGCTTTTCTTACCTTCTAGATTGACAACTCCAAACAGAAAATATCAGACATTGAGAGGCCAGGAACTACTGGGAATGGCCAAAGATAGCTGTCGTGCACAGTAAAAGCACTGTAATCATCTTTTTGTTTTTACATTATCCGCGCAGGGTGAGGCCGTCCCCTGACAAGTCAAACTCAGTCTGCATTGCACGCTTTGAGAAGTGTGTGCTCTGAGCCCAGGATTGCTGTGGCTGCCAGTAGCTGTGTGCAGCCTGGGCGTCTGCATGGCACTTAATGCACAATCAAAGGCTGTTCACGCAATGCTCTGCTGCTAGGCATTAATGAAGAGGATTGAGCTATGTGGATAAATCTGAGAAACGTGTACTGACTCCAAAATCCAGGCACAAAAATATGAATCCATTCCAATAAAAGTTCAAAACAGTTCATTTGTGAGTGGGAAAACTAAGAAGAAAACAAGGCTGCCATGTGGCAGGCCGCTCGAGGGCAGCCGGAGGAGGAAGGTGGGGTGGGGCACACGGGCTGCTGGCCAGAGTCTTCTTACTGGCGAGGTAGTAATGACACAGGGCTTCATTCTTATAATTATCCAACTATTTGTAAAAAGGCTTCATTCACTTTCTAGTGGCTGTGTTCCGTAATCAATGAAAGAAAACCTCTACAAAAGCAGAGTGTGCGTGGAACGATTCAGTTGTACAGGTACTAATATGATCCTGTTGATGAGACGGGGAGCCCAAAACGGCAAACCACTTGCATTGTGGTAAATTAGGGAATGGGCCAAACTCACCCACAGGGGGAAGCCCAGGCAGCTCTAGAAATGATGGCAGAGAAGAATATTTCACAGCTTCTAAAGACAAGTGACATGCATGACTAAGTAGGGGTATTATAGTATATTATGCACAGACAGGCCAAAGTTTTAAAATACACTATGGCTGGACTAGAAGAAACACATTGGTAATATGATTCTATTCAGGTGGTGATTTTGTGAGTGATTTTGTTTTTCTTTGTTTTGCTCATTTGTATAGTTTTGATTTTGAGTGATGAAAGTGGACAATCTATGCTATTGACTGCAACAATGAAAAAAGAGCCGAGAGATCTCAAAAGTGGAATAGGAAGTGTAGGGTGAGTTAATATGTGTGTTTGGAAAGCACCTGGAGTCCCACCAGGACCTATAGCCCATCTGAGTGTCACTGTCCCCTGCCAGGGCCACCCCCACTTACTTTTCCGGGCATGGGCAGCTCTGGCAGTGAGAACGATCCTGCCATCCTTAGGAATCAAGCCATGGTGCAGTGGTCTGGCATGGGCTTGCCACAGAACAGCTGCCTGGTTGAGAATCAGAGGTAACCTTCTAGTAGCCTCAGGGAGATGAAGGATCTCCTCTGTCCTCTGTTGATCTGCTGTTTCTCATAGAGACAAAGGCAGGAGGGAGCGGCCTAACAGAGAGGAGGGTGGTCGCTCTGTGACACAGCACCAGTGTTCTGTAAGAGGCTGCGGGTGAGGTGGCCGTGGCCCCAGTGATGCAGACCTGGGGATCCGCCTGGCCACCTGCGGTGTCTGTGGCCAGACATCCCCAGCAGCCGAGAGGGCCACCTCACACACCGCCAGCTCCTTGGCGTGGTCCCACTTGGTTTTCCCAAGCTATGGATCTCCTCGGCACTGGCACCCTGCCAGCAAGCACTCCATACGTTTATGAAGTAGGAAATTTCATAGGATGTTTTACAGAGGGTAAGAAAGTGAAAAAAGATATCGACAACCCATTAGGGGTGTGTGAAGCATGCAACTACTCTAGTTTTCATTCTTTTCTCTGTGTGCCCTGGCATGCAAAAAATGTGGCATTCCTAGGGGCACGAGGGCTCAGCCTCACCCTAAATGGAGGCCAAAGAAAAGAAGGCTGGGTGAGAGCAGGAGGCATGGATCCTCAGCTTCCTGGCACAAGGCGGGGCACGGTGAATAGGGGCACTTTATCCCGGAAGTAGTGCATCCAAGGAAAGCTAGGTAAAGGTTCGCACCTCTTCAGGAATTCCTAGGCTTGTAATTGATTAAAATAAGCAGTGACTCCCGAGAGTACAAACAGCCTGGGGATTGCACAAAAACTTTTAGACCGCGTGCTACCGTCCCGGCGGTACTCTGGGCAGACTGCCGAGCGCAGCAGCTCCATGCGGGCTGTGCCCCGAAGAGCCGAAGAGGCCGGACCGCCTCCTCCCGCGCTCTCCCTCAGCTGTGCGGTGTAGAATGCTCTGTCTCCACGCGATGGCTCTGCCCTTTCCGGTCTATGACCCTGGGGTCTCGGCACCGCTCCCCTTATTTATCAAGCTACTAATGAACACGAAGGGCTTTCCTGGCTTGGCGGAGCCCCAGGCCTTTGCAGACAGACACCCAGAGCTCAGGAGCCGAGCTGCTAGCACTTGGCCAGCAAATACTCTTTGTCTTCGTTTTCAGCGTATTTTCTTACCGTAGGGAAGACAGAAGACCACGGTTTAAAGAAATAAACAGACGCACATGTAGAAGGCCTTAAAACTGACATCTCCCTGATTGCAAAATAAAGAATGAAGCACGACTTATACACAGACTTTCATACCGCTGCATGTGGCTGGGGTTCTTTGTGCTCTCCTGATGGATTTCTCTGTAGATAGTGGGATATTAATGTTCAGTCAGAGCAATTTCTCTACGATGAAGATGTCGTAAGAGCAAACTGGTTAGAAACATAGGGTGAAGAATTATGTAGCCCTTTTCACTGCTTCTTAGCTTCCAGGTAGCCTTTTTACACTGTGGTAATGTAAATTCCAGCCATACAGGCAAAATTCAAATTAAGTCCCATGCCAGAAGAAACAGAGCTTTGCATTTACTTTTTGCTCTTACTTCCACTTGGAAGGTATCTTTTCCCCTAAGAAACATGTTTAGAAAGATTTAAAGAGGCTTTCTATTTTAGGCTGAACCCGAAAATGAAAGACAATGGAGAAAAAATATTAGCTCAGCTTTTCCAGACTTGGAATAATGTGTGATTTTTGCTGTCTCTCCAAATTTTAAGATCAGGTCTGGTATAATACTTAATTCATTTGGTCTGTGAATCACCTTCCCTTTGTGAGAATGTTAATGCCAAGCTAAATGTTCTCCATATGAGGAAGGAAAAAATTAAATGTAGCCGAGCTGGGACGAGACTGGTAAATAAAATCATTTTGTCGCTACCCCATTAATTTCCCTTTCACTGTCTGCAGGTCCGGAGGGACACAGCCGTACATCATTTTCTTCAACTGTCAGATGAGCTGCTTGCTATGATTTTGTCAAGAAATAGCCCATTCTCCTAAGGTGCTCCAAAAAAGTACCTGGCTGGCTGGAAGAAAACTTAGGAGCCACCAAGTCCATGGCAGAGATTTCCATGGCACGACGCCCACGTGGCCCATCTGAGTGGCCTGGCTGTAATGAGCTGGTTCGTATCCCCAGGGCTGTCCATTCCCAAACTGAACAGCACCAGGGAATTTTTACATCTTCCTCACACAGTAAGCTTTTACTTCAGCAGAAGGTACTTATCTGGCTCTTGTTACGAGCTCTGGAAATGAAGTTATGCACACATTAGGTAACAAGGGCTCTGCCTTAGTGGGCAGACAGGCAGACAGCACAATAGTAACTGACAAAAACCATGTGAGGAGCAAGGAGAGGAAGGAACTGCTTCGAGGGGCTTGGCTGAGGGCCAGAAAGGCCACCCTCTGGGTTTCAGTCACCTCCTGAAGGACAGGGCTCCAAGCCGAGGAGAGGCATGGGTTACAGTGCAGACCATCAGAAAAGACAGGGCCCGTGATTTCTTTGTCTTCTGCCCTTTGGGCTATTTTGCCTTTAGTTCTATATAGACTAAGACCACCAAAGACAATGATTTAAAAATAGCTGCTCTTTATTGAATAGTCACGTTGTGCCAAGCCCACTAAATTCTCACAAACCCTTTATTTTGTCCACATTTGAGGGACATGGGTTCAGAAGGTCACCCAGCCAGGCACCAGCCAAGCCAGGATTCCAAGCCAGATCTGAGGCTTCCGAATGCCAGGATGTCACCACTTCATGGGTTTATTCACAGTCAAGCCTACAAAAATCTCGTCAAATCCAGGGAGCGGGTGGTGCTTGGTAGAAAGACCGAGTCCCAGGCCTCCCCCAGCTGTTTTGAGTTTGAGTCCCTGAGGATGCAGTCTGGGAATTTGCATTTTAACTAGTTCCCAGGTGGAGAGTTCACTGACCTTCACCCCCTGTGATACACGAGTGAGAGAGAGACAGTCTGCCGCCGGTGCAGTTGCCTGTGCTCTCCTTCACATTTTGGGGTGTCTTTTCTGGCCATTTAATGAAATACTGCAATGCAGACTGGTGAGAATTTTCAAATAACAAATAATTTAATTTAGCCTCAAGCTTTGGCAAGATATATGGATGGGGCTGGGGATTTAGCTCAGTGGTGCTGCTGCCTGCCTCACAAGTGCAAGGATCCAGTTCGATCCCCAGTGCAAAAAAAAAAAAAAAAAAAAGATGTATGAATGGGACTCAGAGAACTACTTAGGCTTCAGTCTCACTGTGGAAAGCAAGGCTTTTTCAGAGGAAGTGAGATAAGACAAAATTTTTAAAAAACAAACAGCTTGAGGCCTGTGATCAGGCCACTGGAAAAACCTACAGGCTGTCTCCTGATTAAACCCAGGGCAGGGCCATCCAGGAAGCTGAGCAGATGCTGGAAGTGCGGCTGTGGTTCAACCTGGGTGGAAATGTCCCGGGAAGCGATGATGAGGAACCCCACACAAAGAAGGGCGGGGCTTGCGGCCAGCCTGGCCTCAGGTG